TAAAAATAAAAGTTGCGAGTTCCACAATTTCAGTTTATATGGGCAAAGCCAAGGACTAGAGATCTGATAGCGAATGTAACTACGTACTTTAAAGCTTTTTGAAGCATCTGCAGGAATTATGCAGGTAGCTCTGGCCATCATGGGATTTTCAGGTGTTTGCAGTATTGTTACTTGCGTGGTTCCTTTGAATCAAAAGTATTTTCCATCCATACAAAGAAAACTAATCTTTCTTACCATCACTGAAGTTAAAATTTAACATTTTGCAAAGATTATTTATATAGCCATAAAAACATGTGGCCTGGGCACTGGGAAGTGAAAAAGCTAAATAAATAATGTGAGCAACAGCTTTAGTAATTTTCTTCACTTAACACAAAAGGGAAGCCAGTAGTTTCTTTGGGGTAACAGCCATTAAACAGGGAAATAAATTAATTATTACCTAAAGACCATACAAGTTGATGAAATATGCTGTAAAGCTGTTTCAGCTTGGCATCCTGTCATTTCAGCATAAATGCAATGTAGCCCATTTTCTGACTTAAACACATAAAAGCTTCTTTGTGGTAAGAGGGGAAAATGAATAAGAAAGCAATCTTTCATATGAGTTGTAAAGTCAATTGAAGTCTAGTCTGATCAGAAAGAATACTACTGGACTGTGCGTGCCAGTTAATTTACTCTAAAGTGTCTCCAGCTATAGATTGAGTTTAATAATAATACGTAATTGCCTTTGCAAATCATGCCTTATGGGACTGTGCTTTTGCATGAATGCTACAAAACATTTTGAGAAGTACTGCCCATTGAGATGCTTGAAGTGGGCATGATCAGAGTTAGTACGAATGATCAGTCATGACCCAGAGGCAAGGAAACACTAAGAGTGCTTAAAGAGCTGCTCCCTGTCTTCCCTTCATCCTGTTCTTCCCATTCCCCCTAATTGCTTTTGAGATTTACGATTGCTCAGAGTTTTGCAGGAAGACCTGGAAGATAAAAACCACAGAGGACAATCAGCCCATCTTTTCTTATTGACACAAGATGAAAACCTTCTAATTCCTCCCCATCACTAGGTTTTGTTCTGCAATAAATAAATAAGGAAAGAGCATAAATAATAAATAAGGAAAGAGCTTGTTTGTAAGCCAAAGTTAATCCTCACCTCTCCCTAGGATCCCCTGATTTGCGTCTGGAACTATCCAGGATGCACAGGATTGCTTCTCTTTAAAGATGAAGACTAGACAGACAATGGCAGTGAAGCATGCCTTACCTAGGAATCCCAGATTTAGGCTAACTGAACCAGGTGGGACAAGTTGCTCAGTGAGCCCTCTTTGCCACCTTTGCCCTGCTCCCGACCCTCACTGCTTCCCCACTCAAGCAGCAGAGTCCTAATTCTCTCTTTTTGGTTCTTTGTGGAACACTGAAAAAGAAATACTTCTTTCTTGTAGAAAAAGATAATATTCTACAATTTTTCACGTGTAGTGTACTTTGTTGTTGTTGTTTAAAGTTATCACTGATAATTAATAGTTTACAGTCCTTGGTGTTTCAAAGGAAGCATTTTCTCTTTTGAATGAACAAGATTGTGTTAAATAGTGGATTTAAAAAAAAAGATTTGAGAGCAGGCATACCAATGTTTCTTATGATTAGCTTATCTGAAGTGTGTATGTTAGACTGTTAATATGAACAGCAGTTGCATGGCTAAAAAAAGTATATCATCTATACTTAAAAATGGTCCATACTTACTGCTGTGGGGTTTTTAATGCATTTTACAATGAGATGAGAGATAAAGTCAACTTTCTATTATGGGGTTTTTTTTAATTGTAAATCAGCTTCTAGAGAATTCTGATATCCTTCAAGTCTCTAGTTTAATTTTGGCTTAATTTCTATTTTACAGTGTTTCACATTTTTAAAGAAAGAAGTGTAAAATACCTGTTCAACATCATAGAATTTTTTGGTTTATTAGATAAATGAAAAGCAAGCTGCCAAAGCATGTTGCTCATTCCATTTAATAATAGCCACAGTGCTCTATCATGTTGTTATCTAATTCACAGTTCAGAGAGGTGTTCTGTCCTTTGTTTGAGGATAAACAGCATTCTTATTTAGAAAATTGATCTGTCGATGCCTTTTGTTATGAAACCCATTGTGTTTCAAGACAGTTATATCAGGTGTATTGATGAATATCTGTCAAATGAGTTTTGCAGAAAATTAAATTCAGTGTATTAAATCAGAGGTATAAGCATCATTACAATAGTACAATCACAACATACTCCTGCAAGCTTACTAGTCAACTTTTTGTCCATGGATTGCAATATGCAATATGAGATATTGAAATATATTCCACTTAATAACAATTTTCTAAGCTTAATAGAACATTTATGGTTTCTAGGTCCAGTTTTTAATCAGTGGGAAGTTGTCCTTTGTGTATTCTTAATTACTTTATAGTTTTCTAAGGCCTAGTCTTCTCAGTGTATTAAATGGTAAACAAAATGGAAAATCAAAACTTTTGACCCAGGACAAAGAACCACAGTTTGTGTGTTCCCATTGTGAGTTGTGGATTGGCAGCAACTTGACTGCCTAGTATGCGGAGCTATGATTATATCAAATACACTGGTGTACTTGCCAGTTTTTGCCTTGATGAGGTACTGTGTAATATAGAATTATTATTCAATCCAAACTCTGTTAATTTTATCTTCTTTCACAATACAGGGGAAAATATCAAAAGGAAAACTGATAAGGAGAAAACTCTTTTCAGCAACTAAGAAATTGTTATAACAGAGAAGAAAAGGCAATGAGAATCAATGAAATCAGTCATGTTCTTTTAATGTTAATGGGAAATAAGCATTCAGTCCTTGCTGTAAACTGTTACAGAATGGAAACTGGGGTCAGATTGTGGGTTATGATACAGCTCTTCCTCATTACACCCTTGCTGGACTGGGATACCAGTTCCTGCATTGCCACCCACAGGAGGATCCACCTCAAAATGGGCGCAGGGCTTCTGTGTGGCTTAGAGGTTGTTACACTGCTTGCCTCTCTCCTGCCATTAAATATGGGCAGGACTGAATTAACCATCAGTCGTAGCCCACTCATTCAAATTCCCCCTGGTTTCTAGGATATAAGTACGCCTCTTGCCTTCACAGTTGCACACAGAAACCTGAAAATGAATTGACTTAGTATGGTAATTGCAGCCTGAGTAAACAAGTAACTTGGAGGAAGAACTGTAAAAAGATATGAACTGTGTCACTCATCTCTGTGGGGTTTTAACTGAAATGCCCTGTGATTTATATGTATTCCTCCAAATATTGTGTTGCTGGTATGCCATGCAGAAGATATTTGAACTTCTGTTCTTTGGGTAAAAAAACCTCTCTGATGTGAGTTTGCTATTTCAATCCCATCAGATTATTGAATAAATTTGTTTTACTCAAAGACCAGTTGATTTTTCTTATGTATAAATGTATTTGTCAAAATACAGGGTTAATTTCTCATGACCCTAACACTTAGATCATTATCCAGAATTGAAAACAACTAAAACTTGTGGGTTGAGATAGGAATAGTTTAAGAATTGAAATAAAATAATAATAATAACGATAATAGCAGCAATGAAAGGGAAGATAACAGAAAGAGAGGGAAATATAACCCAAGAAAGACAAGTGATGCGCAATGCAATTGCTCACCACCCACTGACTGATGCTCAGCCAGTCCCTGAGCAGCGATCTGCACCTCCCAGCCAGCTCCCCCCAGTTTATATACTGGGCATGATGTCCCATGGTCTGGAATACCCCTTTGGCCAGTTTGGGTCAGCTGCCCTGGCTGTGTCCCCTCCCAACTCCTTGTGCCCCCCAGCCTTCTCGCTGGCTGGGCATGAGAAGCTGAAAAACCCTTGGCTTAGTCTAAACACTACTTAGCAACAACTGAAAACATCAGTGTGTTATCAACATTATCCTCATCCTAAATCCAAAATATAACATTATAGCAGCTACTAGGAAGAAAATTAACTCTGTCCCAGCTGAAACCAGGACACCAGGGAATCCTTCAGTTTGATTTCTCTATGTGTCTGAGAAGGACATAGAAAAAATACATATTAAGTTACTGTGTGTCTGTTTAATCAGATTTTTACATTTATCACTTACATGAATATATCTTAACTTCTGCTGCCATATCTGTTACTTACATTTTTAACACATTATGTCTGTTGTTAGGGTTTTTTTATTTATTTGTTTCATTTGTTATTGTTTTTTAAGTAGCACTTTGAAAGAATTATATTAAAGTCTTAAACCCTCAGCTTTGTAACACGTGATATTATTGGACTGTAATTTTTTTCCTGAGGTGTAGTTATCTTAGATGATATATGTTCATGAGAGAAACAATGCCCCATTTTTAATTGCATTTAGAATTTAAAATTTTGAGGAAAATATTACAATAGAGGTTGCTTTAATTCATGATTTATTAATTTATTTGTCTAACTTGGATTTTTAATTTAAACAAATGCAGAAAATGGGATATATATTACTGTGTGAAAGAACAATGCGCAGAAATACAGGATTTTTTAGATCCATCAGTTATAAAGTTTCTTTTCTGTGATTCGTATCAAAATAGAATTTTTGTTAAGAAAGTTGGTTTTACAGCTAGGAGACTTTAAGGCCACTGGAATGGAAGAAAGTAGATCAGAAAATGCTGCTTTGTCTGATTTCTTGGCCAGAAAGGACAAAGCTCTACTAAGAAATGGGACTGAAAAAGATGCTGTTTGTTTACATCATGCTGTAAAGCTACTGATAACCATACTAACAGCGAAGATTTCCTTATAAAGAAGGTGATTTTAATAAAAAAAAAACAAAAACAAAACAACAAACTGTACACAAAGAATGCAGGTTCCTGACGCATCCTTTGCAAACACTGCTAAACTTATTTCAAATAAGAAACAGTTCTCCAGATTTGGTATTCATACATAAAAGAAGCTTTACATTACTATTCAGTTAAAATCATATTTGTCATAATACTTTATTATATTTTTTCTTTTGTTTTAGCCATGGATGCAGATGTGACGAGTGAAAGCCTTTCATCTGTGCAGCAGCTTGGTGTTGAAATGACAGTCAGGTACATGGTATTAAAATATTTCTCTAGTGTATTTCTAGGATTTGTTTGATTTTCATGGAGTGACTTTAATGATATTTAATCCATCAACTCAGTGCTTTGTACTGTTTAAATCTAAAGATCGTCTTTAAGAAAATTAATTCTAACTTTGAAAATGAAAAAGGTATTAGCACATAATTAAATTATCTTTACAGATTATATAGGTTATTATCCTTTATTGTTGTAAAGGCTAATTGTAACTTGTTAGTGAGATTTACCATAAAATCACATTATCCTGAGTTATGTGTCTTTTTTTTCCTCACATTACTTCTCTAAATGGTTCTGTTTAGCTAAGCTTAGTTATATGCCATTTAAACAACATTTTATTTGGCTGGTAATTTTCAGAGCCACGGTGAAGGAAAAGCTAATGCATCTGTACTTCTACAGATTGTTATCTTTAGCATTAATATTTGAATTCTGATGCTAATAATTACACATACAATATACTTTGATGGAATTCTAAATAAGATACATGAAGAAAATGTGTCGTCTCTGTTAGAGTACTTGGTCCTTGCCACCACGGTCTCTAAAACTGAACTAAAAGGAATTTAGGTGAGGAATTGTAACACTGAGTAGCAGATGTTTGGTGTGTTATGACAGCTTAACTTTCACAGGCCTATTAAATATGAGCTCTTGCTTTTTAGGAATTAAATATTTAACCTTTAAACAGTTTTGGCTTTTAACTTTTTGTGCTAGATATGGAAAATTCCTAAACTTGCTAAAAGACCATGCTGAAAATGGGCTGTGCTTTGTGTTAATGAACTGTGAGAAATTTCTGAAAAAACAGCAAAGAACTGTGGTATCCTCGCTTTGTATCCTTCCTTGGTGGCATAAATTATATTGCCTAAAAATGCCAGTGGAATTTGAACTCTCAGTTTGGGCTTTTGATGGTGGTGTAAATGTGTAAAACATACTGAAAGAAAAAAAAAAAGCAGCACTTTTACTTTGAAATTTTGGTAATTTAAAATGCACACCCCACACACTCAAGAAAATCTTCACCCTTTTGTTCCCATACTTTGTTAAAATTGTAAGTCTCATTCATTTTTGTCATAAACTATCTTGGAGTAGGATCACATCTTTCTGTATGTGATAAAGAGTCTGCAGCAATGCACTTTTGAGCGTTAATGAGCATTGGTGGTACTCCCACAATACCAACATTGTTAATGGTATTGCCCATGTAATGATATGTGGCTGTAGTCTGATCAACAGGAGTTTTGACTTCTGACTCTTTTAAATCTACTGTGGAACTTTTTTTAAAAATAAAACAGATAGCCCTTTCCAACAAGCTTTGCTATATTCTTCAGGTGTTAGACTTACATGTCACTATTGAAATACACTTCAGGTATATTAGTCAGAATATGCTTAATCTCTTTTTTAAAGCTTTTCTTTTACCTCGGTTTTTTCCCATAATCTTCATAACTCCTATTTTCCTCCTCCGCCATTCTCCTTTCTGGTATTATAAGCACGCTTGTTTTGGTGTGGGGTTTTTTTGCATTTACTTGGTTTTTGTTTACTTTTGTTGATTTGGCTTGACTACTTATGGACTGGGAAAAAAGTAGTGTATAGGGAAAATAGCTTAAACCGTTTCTCTTAATTCAGTTTGAAAGGTAGTCGTGCCTCAAGAAGCTGCCTTCTGTGCAGCTATATTCCCCTTGTGTCATCTCTAACAAACCAGCTCTTGCCTCTTTGTGAATGGGCCTGGGGAGGAGGAGGAGGGCTGCAGTTCCTGCAGGGCAGCGAGGAGATCTCGGCCGAGTTCCTTAACCTTTTCACGCAGGCTGCTTGAGGGAGCACTATGCTGGCTACGACTGGTTTGCATCTTCTATCTTCCTCATAATGTCAGGGGACGGGGAGAAGACACTGATGTTTCTTCAGCGATTTTCACATCTTCTTGTTTCAGCATTTCTCTGGCCACCAAGACTGCATAAATCTGTAAGGATTTAAAAACTGTTTCTTTCTAACTGAATACATGACCCTGAAGAATACTCTCGGAAAAATATAGATTTGACATTTGCTCAAATGGTTGTTTAAAAGTAGTGGGATAACAGGTGGGCTGATAGTAAAGGCAATGTTATTGAATTTTAAAGCTGGCAGTAGACTTTGTTAGTGGCATTAAATTCTGTATGAAGGCTGCGATACTGTTGAATGACCTTTTTTTTATTACTACAGTCAGTGTGCAAGTCCATCCTTTTGATTTTTTTAGTAAAACTATCAGTTTTAAAATTTACTAAATACACTAAAATGTATTTAGTGAATTTTAAAAATTATTACTGCCCAAATACTGAATGCTTGACAATTTTAAATTATTAGTATTCTCAATACCTAAATGATTTCTTTTTCATAATGTACCTTGAAAACACAAAGACAAAATTCAATAATTAACCTATTTGCATAACTACCAGAATGTAAACTAAAATAAAATGTCAAAACATGAATGAGGAATTACCCAGCCAGTGGATTGTGATGCTGCCTACTGCAGGAAGGAGGAAAATTCCAAAGGATGTACCTTGGCCTTCTAGCATCAAGCCAAGGATTCATTACCTAGAAACCAGGCACTGATATCCAGAACTTGCCATACTGATAAAACCTCTGTTCCTCCTTTTGCTGCACAAAATAGTGAAATTCTACCAGCCATGCATACTGCAAAGAAATGTGCACACAGAAAACAACTTTAAATACCATAGAAGTTCTGTTCTATCCATCAGTAGATGGGGAAAAACACAATCCAACAGAAAGTAGTCTTTTTTCCCTTCTGTTCTTTTGTTTAAAATACAACAGTTTCTCCATCCCTGCTTTGACAAAGCTTACATGCAATAAAGAACTAGATTGCTAATGTAAATGAATAGTCAGGATCTATTTAATAACAGTTTCTAACTTTTAATTGTCTTTAGTTTAATAACTACATGTTTTTCCTGATGGTAGGTAGCACCAGCTTCTTTGTTTATTCTAGTTCCTGTCTCTAAAATAACTGGGATGACTTATATAAAAATATACACGTTTACTTGTAAGATATTGTTCTCAGCAAGGTATTTTAAAATAATACTTTTTTGTAGTCTGTAATCCTTTTCCTCAATTTTGTTGTTGTTGATGATGTTATTGTTGTTAATCAGATGCATCTGCCTATTACCACAGTGGAATCTGGCATCCATCCAGTCTATTTTTGCAGTGCTCACCACATTGAAATGTTGCTGAAAGCTGAGTTGCCACTTGTCTTTTCAGCCTTCCACATGTCTGGTTTCACTCCATCCCAGGTAACTGATGAAAACATATCAAAATATCATCAACTTTTTGACTGAAATCCACAAAATCAAGGACATTCAGGAACTACTGTGGTTTTTCTATACAGCACTTGTGTGGTGGTTATGAAACTTGGGGGTAAGAGATAGTATAGAATGCACAGTGACTTAAAGCATCTGAAAACAGAAAGCAACTGACTTTGGTAGAATAATGACAGTGTACTGCAGCTGATGACCTTCCATTATATGTTCATGCAGAAAACTCAAAAATAATATATACTAAAACTTCAGATTTATCATTAAATAAAATACCTTATTCCCTGGATTTTCTAAATTTTCCATAGGAGGGAAATGAGTAATTTAATACAGGTACATAATAGGAAGCAGTTCAGGTGATACTAGAGCAAAATTAATTTTATATGAGCTACCATAACTATTACAATCAGAGAACACACTATTCTTCTATATTAAAGAGATGTTACTAAAGAAGAATATTTACCTATAATGTTAGCTTTCATTTTATCTACTTACTACAATTCTTTGGTAATATGGAATGCTATGTTTGGAGCATTACTTGTGAAGACTACAGTCATGATGAAGCGTAAACAGCTTCATGCAATAATAGGTTAGATTGCCAATGCAAAGGACCTCTCACCACAGTAAGAAAGCTTATTGCTGTTCCAAGGCAAGAAATACATTTTTCATCTTATGCCTTCAAAATTCCTTTTTGCCACAAGATTTGCAGCTTAAGAGACTTCTTAATGGGGCCAGATGCCAGTGTGGTACAGATACTGCTTAAAACAGTCAGCTTGGTCTTTGAGGAGAGGAGATAGGAGTGAGGTGCTTATAATAAGCTTCCCATTTTGGCATGGGAAAACACACGGGGACAGTTGCTCCTTCCTCAACTATTCTTGCATGAGTTATACAGTATGCTTTTTTTTTATTGTTTGCACTCAGTTAATAATAGACTAGTTATTGTTCTAAAACGCTGAAAGATTTTTTGTTTGGGGATTTTTTTTTATTTTTTTTTATTTAATGTGTTACTGAAATGCCACTGGTGGGTGCCACTGTGTCTTCTGTGTGATTTTTGCAATTCTACTGCAGGATTAAAACCAAACAAACCCTGAACTGGGAAAACAACTCTGATGTATTAAGTGCTTGTGTGCATCAATAAATACCTGAAAACAGATTTAATGCCAGAGTATGGCTGCTGTCATCTATTTAGAATCTTGGTACTTCTGCTGCTGCATATTTTTAAACACTTTAAGGACTGATTAGCAGAAGATTTGTGGTCTAGAATTAAATGGAATCTGCTGTACACATCTTAATACATTGTAATTTAGAACTAGAAAAAGGAGTCACTATGTGTGTTCCATACCCACTTCATTAAAAGAAAACGTGTCATAGGGAAGGGCCTAACTAACATTCATTTGTAAGGCAAAGAACTACTTTAAAATCCCTGTTCAACACACCTTCATCACCCTCATTACCCTTCAGGCCATATTTTAAAAAAATCTTGAAAAAAATCACCTTCGCTTTCATTGGACTTTGAGGTTTATGTCTCAACCTCAGGATTTGCCAGAATATACTCAGATAAGTGAGATGCATGGATGCAGGGTGTTAATGTTTAGCAGAACTTACTGAAAGTCTATTCAGAGTCTGTGATTTAAAAAATGGTGATTCTTGGCTGCTTTTGTACTTTACCCCTTTTATTTTCATAAGTAGGGTAATGTTGTAGGAGAAAGGATCTGTAGTATAGAAAAGACATAAAGCTGATCAATTATGACTGAATGTCTACAGCAATTTAATTATATATCATTTCATTCTCATCTAGATTTGTCTGCAATGGATAACTCAGTGTTTCTGGAATTACATGGACTGGAGCGAGATCTGTCATTACATTGCTATATGTATTTTCCTTGGTCCTGATTATCAAATATATATGTGTATTTCTGTGTTCAGACACCTACAGCAAGACATCCTGAAGCACACCGAAGACCAAGATCTCCAGGTTTTTCTTAAAGTAAGTGTTTCTTTTTTAATTTTTCAATTGCTGAAGGGAAGCAAACCTCTTGATACTGAAGATAGGTATGTTACTTAATCCGAAGCTCTTACTGAATTTCACTTACTGATTTTAAGTGAGTGAAATAATACTTTAATTTTATTTACTTCCTGGCAGGAAATTGTGGTATAGGATTTTCCAGAGAATAGCTTTCCTGCATTTTGTCCCAATCAGTTCCCTTTGTAAGCAAAGTAAATAGCCACATTAAGTCATGAGGGCATTTGATTCAGTTCTATGTGGCTTCAATCTCATTAAACTAGATGTTCTCCAGAAAGGTGGGTTTACACGGTGGTCTCCTACTGAAGTTTGAAGAGATGTGGCACAAAGCTCAGTAAGCTGTTATTTTGAACAGAGGTCAATTACTGTACAACCACCAGCCTGACAATTTCACATTCTTTGCCATATTATAAAGTACATTTGGTTATTGGATTCTTTTTGCAGGGTACTGCTTAGCTATAGATGTAGTCACAAATAGATAAAAATATTTGACTCTTCTTCCCTGAGATGTTTCTGGTTTTTTCTCTGGTCTTTTTTTTTTTTCCCCTCCAGTCAAAATTCTTTTGAGAGCTATATATCTGCATCTTAGTCTGTCCAACGACAATAGTTTTCTGACTAGTTTGCATCCAAGTTAGATATTCTTAAATATGAATAATATGTCAGCTCAGTCATTTTCCTTGAAAATGTTTGGTACACAGTCTAATGAGTGAATTGTTTTGTTTGACCTGGTTTTGGTCAATGTAGCTTACAAACTACTTCATCTTGATGGGACAGTTTATGTAAATTATAAGAAAAGAGAATTTGTATGTTGTCACCTACAGTATAAACAGGCTAAAAATTTGACGCGGTACTGCTAAATTAATGAGAAATACTGTATATTAATGCACTACTGGAGTATTTACAATTCATTGAGTGACTACTGCAGATAAAGAGGAGTTAATACCATACTTGAACTGTACTCTTGGTTTTGATAGCTCTTAATTCATCTAAAGAAAAAAAAATATTCTGTCATTGTATTCATTCAATTTCAGCTATCTTATGGGCTTCATATGAGGGAGGTTACTTGGGTTTAATACTTAAGGCATTAGTCATCTGCCCTTTTATTGAAATAACCAAATTCAGTTTCAAGTTTAGCCTGTTTCTCAGCACAACATTCACAAATTTGGATTACTCTAGTGGAGCAATTCTCTTAAGTGGAAGTAGAAACTATTCTGAGAACATAATCAAAGTTAAGAAAAAAAAACAATACACCTACAACCTTTGAATACTAATTACATATTTTTTTAATGTAATGTCACATCTCGAACTTCATACTAGCAGTGGTCGTTTGCTATATGAACAAGTCCTGCTGCCTATTTTCCTTCCAAGAACCAATAGTACTTTCTATTTTTAAGCTTCTAAAATGCTTTATATCTGTAATGAAAAGATGATGATTTGATAGCAATACACCTTTGTTGCTATTATCTGGTAAGTAGTTCCAGCTAGCTATTAAAATTAAAAATATTTTCTTATAATATAAATATACTTTCATTTGCACATGAAAAAAGAAGTTGGAGAGACAACTTTGCTGTCAATTCAGATGACATTATGCCTAGCACTTCAAATAAGTAAAACATTCACCCTTTCAATGTGTCCTAGTGATAAAAAACAGATGACCACCTGTGAAAGAGATCATCTATTAGTCTATAATTTGCCTTCCCTCTGTGCAAAGACAAAAGTAGAAGTAACAAATTGTCCATGAACGTTTTTCCCTTTTTCTGGTTCTTTCTATTAGCTGAGATGGGTTACTAACGGTTACGATCCCTTTGAGATATCTTGAAGTTTCAGCATTAACTGAATTTTAAATTTATTGCTTGGTCTTTTATTAATCCTTTCATGGAAGGATGAATGTGCAGAGCTTTGTAATTTCCATATGTGAACTAAGAATACTGTAACCTGCCACCTCAGTAAACCTGTCTTGACTATCTTGGTTTCATTGGTTTCATTCGGATAAAATAGAGAAACTGGCGCTACAGGGTTTGTGACTTGTTGTAATAGCACGTGTAGGCCAGTAAGTAATTTAGCTACTCTTCACTTTATTTTCTGTAAGTATAGGCCATATTATTGACAACTAAGTTGCTGACTAATGCTTTAATACATGCACACATTTAATCAATATAGAATTTGACTGCTTAAAAAAAGAAAAAGAATTAAATACCTGCTACAGTTCTCTATTGGAGTCAGTTTTCTTTTCCACTGTAGTCACCCTTCTCACAGTGCAGAGCATGAAGAGCAGCTTGGAAGGTAAAATCATGCCTTTGCTTTCCCTGGTGAGTAGGGGAGGAGGAATATAAAGACCATCTTAAATTCCTGTTCAGATGCCAAAGTGCAACCTTCCAAGCCCGAGTGGATGTTCTCAGGAGAATTCTAGGTAGCAGAGATGCACAGTCAATACACCAGCAGATACAACATGTGTCTACACAGACTGTCTGGCTCCAGAGAGCTGCTTGTAGCACATGCTGCCAACAGTGGTAATACTCCTTAGTACGTGGTGGGCACACAAGTTGTTCCATTTCAAAGCAACAACACATTCACCCATTTTACCTAGACTGTTCTTCAGGACCCTGCTTTCTGCGGTGCATCCTCCCTCTCCCTCTAAAATAGTAGTCACGAGAAGGAACATGGCCTGTTGGCTTCTTTTTCCTGAGGGCACCTTCTTTTACTCCTAAGTTTTTGAATAGGTAAGGATTAATCGTTTGTGGTGATGCAGAAGTGTTTATTCTGTTTTTATTTAAGCACTTCATAAAGATCTTTCTTATTGATTTTAAAAACAAGTATCTGCTGTTACTCTCTTGGTTTTATTGAGAATCTAGTTTGATATAAAAGCCACATTAACAAACTTCTTGCATGCCATATGCCAGTATAGAAATCTTGAAAAAAATATTTTAGTACCTGGCTTTGCCTTCTTAAAGCTTGCTTTGTTTTCCTTAAAAATCTTTATATGGCATGTTCTCTAAAAATGAGATGAACACTGTCCACCTGAAAGATTTGTTACCAAGATTGTGATTAGAAAGAACTGTATGGAAGCAGTTATTACCAATTCTTTATTTCTAAATGAAATGTAATAAAGTGTGTGTATTTTAAACACCCAGGCTGTGACAAGCAGAACAAGATAAGCTATCTTTAGAAGCTTGGAATTCATTAAATTTGAGTTGTACATCTTTTTTTCCTAGCTAATACATGTTTTCTGTGTGTATTTGTGCAGGAAGAAGCACTCCATGGTTTTCAAGTGAGCAATTATTTAGAATACATGGAAAGCTTGGAGGCAATCTACAGACCTATGCTGCTGAAAGACATGAGGAGCATAAGAGTGCAGAATACATAGATGAAGCAAACACGCACTTTATTTTCTAGTTTTGGTTACATCTTTTAAAAGGATGATGATTGATTGATATGTCGGTCTCACCTAAAATAAGTCGTGCTGTGTAAATGTACATATTGTAAAATAAGTAAGGAAGGTTTTCAGAATATAGTTTTTGCAAAAGGACTTAATCTAAGTTTGATGACCTAAAATACCACATTTTTCCAGACAGGCTATATGCACAACCTCATTTTCCGTTAGCAGCTTCAGAACCCACTTGTAGGATGTGCTGAAATGTCTTCCTTAGAACATAAGTCTTCCTTATAAAGCCTTGAACCTGTTCCCAACTCATTGCATTATTGTCATCTCCTTGTAGCACAGTCCTAAAACCTGCGTATTTTGATAGGGTCTGACAAAGTGATTTTTCTTAGAAACAACTCCTAGTGTATATTCATATGCATGAAAAGTCAGCAAATGAAAAACAAATTCCCTCTATGCAGCTGTTCTGACTTTGTGGATAAAGTTGAGAAAATGGGGTGTTCAAACACATGCAATGAAAAAAGACTGATATTCCTGTCTTTTTTTATTTTAAATAAATAATTTTATGTCATAAAACATCTATTTGTAACATACGGTCTCTATCTGCATAAGTGAATGAGAAGTCCTTGAGTGGCCTAGTTTTCATATCTCTGGAAAATGATCGTTTTTAAAGATTCTGGTTTCATTCAGACAGGAAAACTAATAAGAAGCTTCATCTGTGCTTGCCTTTCATCATCAATGAAAAGCAAGAATTAAGGCTGCTAGATATTTTCTAACACCAGTGCAGTGTAAGTAAAACGTCAACATTGTTGAAGTAAGTTGACTGAAATTCCCAATTTCAAGAGAAACATGGTTTTCTTGAGGAGTGCTGCATCCCATTTGCTGTAAGGATAGGTTTTAGGTAACAGTCAGCAGGCAGCTAAGGAAACATTCTAGGAGCTTTCTTTTCCATATTATATTATATCATTGTTAAATATCATTTTAAAAAAATCAATATATATTTGTGCACCAGTTAATAGTTGTTTTTTGAATCCAAATTTCAAAACACTGGACATGATGTTGAGTCAATAAATAATACTCAAGTAGATGACAACATCGTCCTAAAATGAATACTACAGTTAGCTTGTCAAAAATTAATAAATGCATTTCTATTTGATTGACATTATGGCTGATAAAATGATAGTTACTGGCAAGCAGGAGGCCTTCCCCCAGTTTTTGAAAGTAATCAAAGGATGTAAATGGCAAATGACAAGGTATTATCCTGTGGCCATTTAATATTTTTCATACAGTCAGTCAGATCTGCATCAAAATTTCCAAAAAAAGAAAATATGTAGAAATGTAACCTTTACAATGCCCCCATGAGGTTAGATGAAAAGTAGAGATTTATGATGATAGCCTAACTGCAGAAATTCATAGTCACATGGAAAGAAAAATCTGAAATTAGAACACTTATTAAAATTTGTTATACTAATGTCTTGAAATGGAAGAGTATCTTTTTATTAGGACATCTATTCTTTCTTAGGATTTCAGTTTCATTTCAGCCAAAGTAATAGTTGTACCACTTCAATTTAGAGTGACATGCCCTGTTCCTGCAGTTACCTTTAAAGAGATTTTTGGTCTTGATAATTATTTTGCATAGGAATTTGGTAAATTGCCCTGTGCATTGTAATACCAGACTCTTAGTACCTTGATGATTCCAATGACACTGCTGCTTTATCAAATGAAACAAGATTCAGCTTCTCTACCAAAAAATTACTTATCATCTGTATTCTTACAGGAAGAAGTCTTTATACTGTGAAGTGTAGGTAGCCAGCATAAATGGTCAAGTCCCTGCTGTAGCTAGTTTAGTAACTAAGCAGTATAAATTCCACAAATGCATCCTATGTATGTAGACAACATTACCAGATGATTTTACATAGTGAAAGTTAAGCATTGAGTAGTTCTTTATTTGGTTAAAGAAGTAGGGAAAATACTATGTTTTACCAACACCTGCAATAACATTTTCTCTACAGAATGTCTGGAATCTCAAAATATTTTTATTAGAATTTGTGATGCAATAAATGTTTTATAAGTCCAACAGAAACCACAAATGTTGAATTTAGACTTATCCAATATCATTGCCGCATTCCTGTGAGACAAATTAAGCATTACTGCAAAGTTCTTGAAAAACAACTTCACTAAATAAAATGAATGTGTGAGCACACACACAAATTCAAGTTATAAAATATGTTAGAAGCTGCAGTGAAATTTCTGTAATTATATGCAACCTAAGAGTGAACACTGACAAAGGTTTTACGACTAATTTCTGTCTTCCTGACTGTGCATTTCATAAGTTCATGGGTTTCGCTTTTTTTCCTGTCTAGAAAAAAAATGTTTTAAATATTTTTGGACTTTTGTGAACTGTGTTGGCTCACCTACATTAATAAAAGAGGCTGGCATGTATGAGGAAAGAATTATGACAACTGATGGAACCAAGTATTTGCCTGGCACCAGGGTCAAAGAATGCTAAGACTCCCATAAAGTCTGTTATTTTAACCTTAATAGCAGTGTCCTATTTTTAAAATAATGTTTTTGGCATATACCTCAAAATAACCAAGTGACAAACATCCAGATGGTGAATAGAACACTAATATATATGTGTTTCTAGAAATTCTATACATTTTCAAAGAGACTATAGTTTATTAAGCTACCAATTACGAAGTCATCAGTTCCTTTATCAGCAGCAGCACAGCTTTAATACAGCCAACTGCCAGGTCATATCTCTCAACAGGGGCCAAACATCATGTTTACAACATGAAGGACTTTGTTTTGAATGGACAGTGACAAAGACAAGTAAGTTTGCTATCGAAAAGAATCCCATACTGTCCCAATAGAGAAATTTATGAGCTGTGGCTAAGAAAGAAATCCTAATTTGTAAATGAAGAGACAATTTTCCTCTCTTTATAACATAAGGGACTTTTAAATAATGTCCTGTTCCATTCCCAACACTTCCAGGAAGCATGTGTAAAAATTAGAAGGCTGAGAAAAGAGTCACAGTATCATACTAAATAACTGTCATACAGTTAAGGACCTATGCGGCATAGTCTAATAAGTCCATTCAAGAGAATATTATTAGGTTAGATGGTTAGAAGATGATTTGCTCAATGTCTGTGATTGCCTATGTGGAGAAGAGATTTCTGATAACATCTTTTTAGTCTAGCCAAATGTCTTCCCCCTACACCCCCCCACAAGAAAAGCACATTGCCAACAAGAATGTGCAAGATCTAGGAATGAGGAGCTGTGGAAACAGACTGGAAGAGGTTGTCATTTTACAGTGAAGATAACTATCCAGTAGAATAAAGTTACTTTTAAGATAATAAATCATCAGCTCAATATTTTCAGTCATGATCTGATTTTTTGAGATACATGCTATTCTAGATCATGTGCCATTCTAAAAGATATAATTTATTCCAAGTTCCACAGCCTGTTATACAGTAAGATAAAGCTGTGATATCTGACCTTTCTATCCCTAAAATATATTACAAAAAAAAAATCCAGTTAGTATCAATGGGATATGATCTCCTCCAGTTCCCTTTGTTGCATTTTAGGCAAATCATGACAAAAAAAAAACCAAACAACATCAACACAAGGAGTTAAAGATGGACAAATCCAAGGTAGAACAGCAAAAAATTTATATAAAGAATTTAAGAATAGATGTTAGTGACAGCACACATTTTCCCTTTCAAATTATAATATATACCTATATGCCACATTGGACTAGAACTGAAGATACAATTTTAACTAGTTTGAGCAGATAGAAAATCAAAACTTATTTGAAACATAACATTATATTTGTGTCAGAAGAAGTAACTAGCATTTATTTCCTGTAAGGAAGTCATTTGGAGAGATGTAATGTTTGTACCATTTCTGCAAATCAGTGGAGTATATTTGTGACACCTCTTCTGGCATTTTGTTTATTAACTGGTCACACATAAGTAGACAGAGGTGTGACTCTTACTTCAAGGCTAGATTATTCAGCCTAGTTTCCAACCATTTAAAATGCTATTTCCAGATACACAGACCATGTCCTTTCAGATTTCACTTTTGTTCAAAATCTAAGCTAAAGCAGAAAAAATCTTTTCATTGCAGATCATGAACAAGGAACTAGTTTTAGTACTTCACCTAACAAGAACTGGTTCAAGAAGTTTTGTGTACTCAGGAGAGGATCAGGGAAAAAACACTTTCCCTGTTCCTCTGATACCAAACCGCCAGTAAATTAAAAAAGGCCCACAGCTCCAGAGCATAATACTGTTTGATTCTGTTTCATCAAAAAAAAAAAAAAAAAGGTCTTAAAGCTTAACATACAAATGCAGTGGTGCATAGGGAGGTATCAACATGGTTTGAAAAATTAGTTTAGATGGGGTTAAACTGGGAACTGACACTTGACTAATATTTCATCAGGTCAGTTTCCTGCTCAGAAATAGAAGGAGACAAGGAGAATACCTGAAATTTGCTTAGAATGATGAGTGGGGAAAGGAGGCTTTTTTGTGGTAGATTTTTGAAGAAACAAACACAACAAAAATAAAAACTCCAAGGGAAATTAACCATTTGAAAGAAATCAATGTTTACTCTCTCAGAAGATTTCATCTGCTCTTGGTATTTCCTGTGCTCTAACTCAAAGCCTATCATGGTATCAGATTCATCCACGATGTTGGAATTAGCTGCTTTTAAAATGGACTCAGCTTTTAGAATGTTGCTTTAAATTAATACAGACATTCATAAGCCGACACAACAATCCATTCACACTGCAGCATTTTTTTTTGCACCATGGCTGCAGGTAAGGTCACTGCTGAAAGAAAGCAATATTCCTAATAAAAAGAGGAGGCTGAGGGTCTCACCTTGTTGATAAAATGAACATTAATAGAAAGGGGAAAGAGCCTAATAACAAAATCCATTTGTCAGCTGTTCTGCAGAGTAGGAGATGAAATTTCAAGCAAAGCAGTAAA